GTACATTCAGGCGTGTTTGACTTGTTGCGGAGGTTCGAATGATTGTGCAGTTTTGTCATGTATTTTTGTGTAACGATTTGATTGTAGGTAAATTTTCATTACGCATGTACCATGAAGCACCTGCTGTTATTCTCAATGTTTTCGACTGAAATCTTTGTATTATATCTAGATTTGTCACGCAAGCTGTATGCCATAACTGGAATCGATACATTCATATCGGTTTTATAGAATAAGGACTTTATTTTCCAGGCTTAGTCGAGATTCCTCCCTTAAAAGTCAAAATAAACTGGATAAATTGAGCTTTAAATGCATCTTTTTGGCGGAAATGTGCCGTCATCGTCATCGATAGGCCCATTGTTGAGCTTGACGGTAGGGCACATTTTTGGCCTTAATGTAAAAGTATTGTGCTTGAACTTATTTTCATTAACATTTATGCGCCATTTCGCTAGCGATTCTTCAATTAAATAGTTTAAGTTGATGCTCTAGCACTTTTGTGGCTGTAATGGGGCATTGTGTCGACTTAGTAAAGCAGTATTATCCGCAAAAGTTGATGTCATTACTTTGTCACTTGTAGGAATGTCTGCGGCGAACAAAATATACTATATTGGTGCAATCGTTGTCTCTTATAGTGAACGAACTATTGGTTAAGTGGGATTCAAGGATATTGTAGAAGGTGTTGGGTAATTTTTAATTTTATGAATGAGGTCATCATGCTACACTTTGTCAAATGCTTGCACTACATCAAGAAAAACTGCCGAGCTATACTCTCAGAATAAGAAAGATTTCCTTCTATCATTTGTTACACAATTTACTTGTTCAACTTTGCCGTGTTTTTTTTTTACCAAACTAAATTGGTGTGCAGGACAATTCCTATCGTTTTCATGGGGAAAAGGAAAGATGATATATTTTACAAACAGTCATCGCATTCGCGATTCGGCTCCCAAGTCACTGTTGATTGTTGTCAGTTCGTGGTGGTATATTCCGTCTACCTACGTACCATCATTGATACCAACAATAATGTCATCCTTAAAATCCAACACAGAATAACTCTTGCCAACGGGTGCCACTTTAGATTAGTTTTTTTTTGTTATATTAATATTTTCCCATCTTTTCTATCCACAATTAAACAAATACACGATGAAGGTCTACTTTTGTCCACGGCAAAGTATATGCATAAACTCGCTTTAGCCAAAGAAGCTGACTCAAGATGGCTGAATGAGATCACATGTAACGTGATCAGACAATTGGACCCGAAAAAGTCAAAACATCCTATCTCTAAATTAGCATTACCACAGAAAGGAAAATAATAGGCTACTACTCTAGTGGTTTTTGCCGCACCTGTAGAGACGAAGAAGAGGAAGAGTATATTGAGCACTATATCTGTCACTGCCTTGTCATTTGCACGACGGGATACATTTCTTCGACTGTGCTGAGCTAGTCTTATTGCTTTTATAAGGCACATGAAATGGATCGAACAAAAGAGAAGGTATCACAATGGGCTGATTGGCCTAAGTGCTCTGGTAATTACCAGCATCCGCATCAACATAACCAAAGGTCGGTACAAGAAAATTATATTCGCATTAACGGTTTTCAATCTTTTAGAAACATTACGAGTATATCTTTTAGTTTTAGCTATTTATCGCATTAGTGTAACGACTAGTGTCAGTATGATCCGCCCACAATTTTCGCTTTGAGCAGTCTCACCCTGTTTCATCTTCGTCACCTGTAGTGGTGCCATTGGGTTTTCGGCTACACCCTCACTTACAGTAGCGATATTTGAAGTGAATCGAGCAAAACAATGACGCACAATATCGAGTATCTTCAAAATTCTTTAAAATTTTATTAATTACTTGAGTATCACAGTTTCCTCATAAACCACGAAAAGTAACCGCGTTCGAATCACCATTTTTGTAGCAAGTTATAACGATTTTAACGCATTGTGCTGTTATTTATCGATTCACTTTCATAAATGCCTAATTTTACCTAAAACAAGAAATTTTTTGACAGATACATCCCTATACTTTAAAAACCAAGAAATGAATAAGCCCATTTAACTCTCAATAAAACGACTAAACTGAAAAACAGGCAAAGATATTCTTTTGATGGCCTGAAAATATGACTCAAAATAATTTCATAAGAAATTAAAATCTTCAATTAAAAACTGCCGATTTTAATCTTTAATATAACTCCTTAATATAACTGATTTAAAGGGGGAAGTAATGCGAATTGACGTTCGCTTTTTTAAGTGTTAAACGTAAACAGTTATTAACAGATCTAAAGTAAGATAATTGTTAGCTTTTTTCGCATTGTAATTTTTAATTTATATATGAGCTTGTTATTAAATCTGTTGAACGACTGACTGCGACAAGCAAAGATAGATGCCTCTTATGTTTTGACTTCATCCATTTTAATATATATTATTTTGGAAGCCCATAGGGAGTGACATACAGTTTATACTAACGGCTGTTGTTTTTTGGTGGGGAGCTGTTACTTCATGGCAGAAATGCATGCGGAGAGTTTGATATTCCCTACCGAGGGCAACCGCAATTAAAAAAAATTATCTCAATTTTTAAATTAAATTAATTTTCCCTAACTTTCAGATGTTGGCTGAACCACGACTCAAACCATAGCTTTTCGAACGACTGAAAGCAATGCTAACCAATCAGCTACCGCGGTCGTCACAAATATTCTTACTCAACAGAATATCCACCAATCGTGCAAATTGCGCAAAAGGAATTCAAGTTTAAGCATTGTAAACAATTAAAGAAACTGCCGATACCCCAATGGAATAATTTTGTAACAAATAACAACATTTGTACATATTGTCTTGCGTTGCATCATACGCTAAAACGGTTTACACCACAATTTAATGCTTGTAATACTGACTGCATACACTGATTACCCCAAAATCAATATCTTGCGAAAGACGCCGCTCAAATATATCCTATAATTTCTTTTGAGCAGGCCCTTTACGGCAGCATAAAACACAATCATTTTTGCATAACAAAAAAAATTTAAAATTAAGAAGAAGAAAAATCTCTCTCCTTTGCAGAATATTTCCGATTCTCTAATTGCAGGACAAAGGACATACATATGTCACCCCAAAGGCATTCGCTGGCAAAAAATACAAAACAAATTCCTACACATTTGACATTCGCCAGGAATTGGCCGTCTGAATAAAAATGGTCGGCATAACATAACCAGAAGTTCCGGCACTAATTCAACACTTCGTGCAGAGCGGCCCAGTATGTTTAAATGTGTGCTTAACACGGACTCCCCCTAATCAAAAATACCATCCTTTTGTGCGCATGCATGCCAAACGAGCGGTAGAGATTTCCTTCACGGGCGTATAGGGCGTAAATAAAACATATAATTCAATTATTTCATAGAGTTGTGGTGAAATTTATTGTATGTACACCAAATAAAATATAAAAAATTTGTATTTAATTAAGCCGTTCCAAATAAAACCTAGTTCTGGTTTTTACGTATTGCAAAATATTTGATTGGTTCCTTATTTATAAAACCTTCTTTTTTTAGTTCAATATCCAGGTTTGTGTTTTTACACAAGCATATTTATTAAAGAAAAAAAGATATACACTCCAATCTTAAGAGTAATGAAAACAAATGTATGATGAGCTCAGGAACTAAAAACCATTATGTAATAGCTAATAATAGCTATCTTGTTAATAAAAAGAATAGGTTATTCAATTTTTAAGGTGAAAAAATAAAAATAAAAATTAAAATGAAAACAATAAATACAGGAACATTAATTTATTTCCTGTCATCATCTGTTACACACATTCGCTTCCATCGAATGCGCTTACTCGTAAAATCATTATCATCGCTGGAATAATTTGAACTGGACGTTTTCTTGCTCGTTCGGAATCTATATTTTTAACAGTGATCTCTGGTGTGAGCAACTCTTCCCCTATTGTATAATTCTTTGTAACGACTCATACAAGAATTTAGCTCTCGTTGGAATTGTGTCCTTCGACATTGAGATTATGTGTAACGAAATGGTATCCCAATTTGTTTGCAAGTTGAAGTCCTTCTTGGATTAAATTTTCAGCAAGTTCGTTTCATTAAAAACTTTATCAAACAACAGTTCATCGATGTCATCTAATACTAAGTCATTAAAATTCACACTACCAACGGCAGAAATTATATTTTTACGTCTAACAAGACCTGGCCAAATTAATCTCCAACACACGCACATAGTGGATGGTCGAAAATCTGATAATGAAACCTTTAATATTCATCTTTTTCCAGGCATTAATCACTGTAAAACCTTTTCCTTAACAAAAGTGGCCAAATGCACAGGAATAACTATTATTTGGCCCAGAGGTTAAATTTAGGATATGGTATTCGGTGGCAAGAACAAAATTTGTTTCTAGTTTCTGGCACAAATTATTTAATTAATCATTCTGTAAAAACTGTAGTTGTCACATATGCCTTTTTATTGGGCATCAAATTTTTGTATAGCGTCTACTGTGGTTTCGTTTAAACTGAACATTTGCCAAATAATGAAGAGCCTGATTTAAAAATTTATTTTTGGTTTTCAAAGTAATGGCTTTACGTTATAGCACAAAATATTTTGAATCGTGCCAAATAGAATAAAATCGTGTAAAAAAAATTTCCAACCGTGTTAAATCAATAACGTGTATAAACAGCATTAGGTGTATATAACTATCGAAAGTGGTTTCCCTTTTAAAAGGAATCAAAAACGAACCCTTGCGTAAACATATTTGAATAGGGGGATCTTAAGAATATGCTTTCTAAGTTCGTACTAATGGTCTTGCCAGTTCGTTTTCCTATGATTTCTGTTTATTTATTTATTAAATAATATTGCATTAAGTTTTTACTTTATATTTTTTAAACTTTGATGTTCTTCTTAATGTTATTTGATGTGTTTTTTGAGAAAATATAGATTTCCCTTCTTCTAAAATATTTAAGTTATTTTACTGCATACATTAAGTATCAAATTTTTGCCATATTTTCAGAAAAGGTTTTCCTAAAGGATTTTGCTAATTTTGGATTGCTAAATAATGCAGACCTTTTTGCTGGGTTTCCGGATACCGAAGTCAATGGCAAATTAAAGCTAAAATTATTGAGGCCAATTTGGTTATGAGTTTATCCTCAAAACCATCCTCTTTAGCATCAGTATCCCAGCAGCGACATCTCGAACAACACTTAATGAAGCATAATATTTCTGTGGGATCATCTCCACAGACTGCCTCGGCTGTAAATTCAGTGATTCAACATAATTTTTCAAATATTCACCACATACAAAATTTACAAAATCAGCATACTAGTGCCATATTAAATAGCAACCACTCTACACCATTTAGTGTAACAGATATTTTAAGTCCAATAGAGGAATATCGGAAACTGGAGTTAAATTGCAGTCCACCATCACCATTTAGGTAAATATTATTTTTAAATAAACAGTTACAAATAAATGTACACATTTTTTTTTAAACTCGCATAAAATAATTACGTAGATTATGATAATTGGTAAGTTTTATATAACACCTACTTATATAAATGGTAATGAAAAATCTTTAGGATATCAAATTAAATGTTTAAAATACTCATATATTTACGAACTCCAGTTGTTGGAAGTTTCAACATATACACAGCAGATAATGGCTGCAATTAAAAATTTTAATCTGCTTGCAATAGAGAAGCGGAACTGATTTCGTATCTTGCGATGATGTCGGGTATTGCGTAAACGAATGGCAAACGGCATTTATTTCTATGGCAACGGTGATTAGCTCTTTAAACGGCAACTTATGTATTATTTACTGAGGTTTTTAAGAGCCGCCAAAATAAGATGCGTTGGGTTGAATATAAAGATTATTAATTAAAATAAAATAATCAACTGGACAATTTAGGTTAAATATGACATGATACATAATTTTATTCTGATTCGCAGATATGTAGCATTGGCTACATATTCCAAGAACTTGTAACGTACCCGGTTCTCCGGTTTATAGCTGGGCTATCTCTCAGCCGGATTATGGGTCTCTCCTATAATCTCGATTGTAAAAGTGTAGGAAAAGGACAACACGAATGGTTCTACGTTACACAGTTAGCTTTATTTTCAAATGTTCTACTGGCAGCGTTTTCACGACACACCATATATCTTAACCGTATCGTACTGGCAGCGTTTTCTCGTCAGCCGTATATCTCTATTGGCAGCGTTTTCACGTCACACCATATACTTCTATCTACTCCTATTGGTAGCGTTTGCACGTCACACCATATATTCTAACTACGACAGCACAAACAGAAGTGTCGTATCACTGCTGATGCTGCTCCTTTTATACCAAATTTTCCTACAGGTGGACAGTTATGCACTGCCTTTTGTTGGTAGGCCTATCGCCTGTTCTCCTTTGCCCTACTTAACAGCGGCGGCTCGCTACGCTAGCTTAAATTTCATATGTATACAAAGTGTATATATGTTTATATATATAATCTTATACTTCTAAAATATAATTAATTATTTATATATGTATATATATATATATATATATATATATATCTATTTGTAGGTACTTCATGTTATATATATATATAATATATATATATATGATGTAACTTCTCTTTTGTTGTTGTTGTTCTTGTTGTGAAGGCTCCAAGGCCTCGGACTTGGGGTCTTCACAAGCTTAAATGTTTCTCTATGTTCCACAATTTTAAATGAAATTTGAAGGATCTGGGACAGTCCATGGCGACAGTCTCTCCAACGGTGCTACCACGAGTTGCTTGTAAAATTTTCCATCACCTTTTTTATCCGTGAGATCTGGGACCAAAGTGATATTCACTGTGTTTTTCCGCTAATTACGTCTATAAATTTATAAATATGGATATCTTTATTGTAGGTAGCCTCTATCCGGCAGAAGATTAACGTTTCTCGGGGTCGACATTTAACCATGTCTTCCCTGTTTAATACATCATATGTATGTCAGTTGGTCTAATGTCAAGGACGACTTCTGTGGGCATCTTCTGTAGGTATTCCAAGTGTGGATTATTTTATTGGCATTGAATTCAGCTTGTTCTCTCCACACCATTACACCATGACACGTTGCCGTTGCCCCATGCTGTAGAAGTCTTCCCCGCCTTTATCGCCGCCATATCAAAGCCAACGTGCAGCATCCAATCCAGCGGGTATTACAGCAACAACGCACTGCACCCACTCATCGCTTCCTCACTCCTCGTATTTCGAACGTGCCCACAAGACAGACACGAAACACAATTTAACTTGAACGGCTTGAATACTACTATAGAATATCAGGTCATAGCTATCCGATTAGGCCCCGATATAGTTGCGCTATTCAGCTGAGAAAACAGTTAGGATTTTGGGCGACTTTAATGTGCATCACGATCTTTGGTATTCTAGCCTGTCAAATGACCGTAGAAGAATGGAATTGGAAGAACAGATAGACGATTCGACATTCTGCACCATGAACGATAACACCCTACCAGAGTTGTGGGTAGTTGCCGAAGCTCATCAGATATAACAATCGTGAGTGCTGGTCTGACAAATAGTAAAGCCTTGTAACCTATACTGGCATTAGCGTCAGATCATTTACCCAAAGAAATCTCGATTGACAGGCCTCCCGGCTTTAATTCCACGGACCATCTAAAATTTGTTAACTTTAAAAAGTTAACTGACCCGGGTACATGGAATTTACGAAAAACGTCTTCACTGCTCTCTCCTCTCTATAGGACGTTATAGCCGGTGAATGTTTATTCCGCAGGATAGTCTTGACCGCTGCTGCCCGCTTCATCCCGGCAGGCCGAATTTCGGAAATCCGCAATAATTTCCCGACGGAAGCGGAGCAAGCCAATTCTGCTAATCCACTAATCAGGGATCTAAACTAGAAGATTCGGCGAATAATAGACAGCCATTTGCGGCCTATATTATAGGATTTTCTCTTTAAATTAGTAAGCAATAGAGAATTGGTAGAAGTGTTAGCTGTTTATAAAAACTTAACTAAAATGTTTATGATGATATCAAACAATCCGTGGTAAAAGGTATCACAAAGCTTGTTGATTGAAAATCTCTTTCTATATAATAAATTTAATTAGTTACAAAAAATTAGGTATCTTTCTCAAGAAACGGTGTAAATTAAAAACACTGAACTGTTCCTTCCAAAAACTCACAATCCACTAATCAGGAATACCATAACCGAAAAAGGCGGGAAATGCAAGAAGTAGATAACAAATCATGAAAAGTGACAATGCGCTAGGGTTTACTTAAAATATTTGTGGGATATCGAAAGGTAGTGTTGCAGTCGGCGTATGAAATGCATTTGGTTTTAAGAACAATTGGCAAGCCATGAACATATCATTATTTGGCGGTGCTGCGACTCGGTATGAACATTGAAGTGGATCATGAGTTATTTCAAAAAATATATAAAGTCGTTATTCTCAAATGGTGCCCCGCTTGCAGTTATAACGGTTTCCACAGCTTATCGATCGTGTTTAGTGAGTGTAGACGCTTGCACAAACGGCTTGGGAGTCACAGCTTTTACGTCGCAGTATCGAAATTTTTAATTTTATATTTTTTATTCTTTTTTTACTATATATATTATTTATTTGTATTTTCCCACAATAAATTAATTAAAATGAACCGAACGGACATCAATTGAAAAAAACTCGACTGCTGTTACCACCTACTATTGTACACTATTCCAACTTATGTAGCTACTATATTATTAAATTTATTTCAAATATATACCGTTTTGTCTCCATAAAGGTAATGTCACTATGCCGCTCTCATAGAAACTCTTGTTCCTATTTGCAAAAAATTGCGATGTCCAGACTATAATGCGGATGCTCTTGAAACTTCTGGAGAGTTATATAACATAAAATAATATAATAAATAGTTTGTATGTCTGCTCATCAAAATCTAGAATAGTATAACAAAACACTGACTCCAGTGATATGGAATGGTAGCATATATGATCTGAAATCTGACATGCTGCTTAGTGCATGTATTACAGAAGAAAATACACTTTTACACCTTGGGTGGTGAATTACTCTTGTTACATCATTCGTACAAATACTGTCAGCTAGGAGCTCTTACTAGTAATTGCTTTTGATGATTTGAATAAAGTGATCGTTTCGTTAGGAAACGAATCAAGTCTTGATTTTGTACATTTCTACATGGATCGGGAACAGGGTGTGGCAGTTTGTGACCCCTTCGGTTGTAAAAATTTGCGGGTGCGAGTTTTGTAAGGCTGCATGGAAGGGAGGGGTATCTTTTCAATATATCTGCGGATTGTTAGGTGTAAGTCGGCTTGGTTGTCAATATTGAGATATCATCTTTGGCACGTCCGTGTGGACGCTGAGATAATGGTCGCAAATGCCCACAGAATTAATCTGTGTGATGGTAAACCTAGTTCTGTTTGAATCTGTTTTACTATTTTGGTGACTAAAACTGCACAAAAAATGTAAGCGCCGAAAACTAACAATTTGGAAATAAATAACTTTTCTATTTGCTGCGTGTAGATGAGATATCATTCCAATCTGTTCCTTCCGTTACAGGAACAAGTATTGTAGTACTTTTGTAACAATCCTTACTTTTATATCCCATCCTTAAGATTTTGGCTACAGTTGATAATATTTTCTTTACGGCACTAAACTTTGTGAGGGGCCGTTTGCGTAATCTTGTATTATATATATATATATATATATATATATATATATATCTATTATATACCTATACCATTTATGCCTACTACCCAAAATAGCCAGTGATCCGTGTTTCGAATTAGTCAGCTGAAGCTCCTGGTAAGTCTAACTCAACGCGAAGATATTCTATGACTGGTTTAATAGAAATGTAATGTATGCAAGTATTTAACAAATATATCTTCTTCTTTATTGGCATTAACATTAAAAATTAAAATCTTTGGCTAATAAAATAGAATGCTCTATTAATTCTAGTAAGGAAGAGTTTTTGACAAGTCCTCATCAAAAAAAATACTTCCTTATCAATAGCTGGCATATATCGTCATTGAATATTTTCACTTCCGAGAGTCAGTGAGTGGTGGTAAGTTAACACATTTGGAAGCACACCACGCGATGCACAATTATCAGAATTGTCAATGCTGCAGCAGTTTAGTTACATGCAGTGAGTGTTCATTAACGAGATGATAAAGAACGCCAATGTAGGAAGATTTCAGAATAGCTCCAACACAAAATATCCTTAAATTTCAAGTTAAGAGGTCAACTAAGTGATGTTAATTTGATGTAGTCTAATCCAATTCAATTAAAAAAATTTTAAACATTTTTAAGATACATGTTTTTTTCACATCACCATACTAAACATCATAATGTGGAAAAATTCATATTCTGAATAAAAACTTAATATTCAATTTGCCATGTGTCTGATGAAAATAATGTTACCCCAATTTGT